GTTCATCATGCCCAAAAACGCAGTCAGATTCCAGCTCCTGTGTGCTACAATAGTCCTGCAACTGCCGCCATCTATCTTGCATCCTCCAGCTTGTGTGGATCTATTGACACGTCTATTGATGTTCCTGTGATACTCGTAACTGGTCGAGAATTAGCACGATCACAACCTTTAGTGTCTCGACAACTACTTCTTGTGTTCGGACGATTGTTAAATGAATTATATTTTCAATATCTCGTCACAATACCTCGACACGAAACCGGGTCTGACGAGCAGAGAAAACTCTGGATACAGTGTTTATGGATACTCAATGCGATGCAAGACATGAACACAAACCAGTGGAAGGCACAGTTCATTATCTTCCTCATCAAGCGGTATTGACCCCAAAGAAAACCACAACGAAAGTACGGATTGTTTTTGATGCATCAGCCCACTATAAGAACTCTCCGTCCTTGAACGACGCGTTGCATAGAGGACCGGTGATTCTGCCCAAACTTTATGGTATTCTCCTGCGATTCCGGATTGGGCGTATCGCCTTGATATCGGATGTAGAAAAAGCGTTTCTACAGGTTCGTCTCCATCACATAGATAGGGATGCCACGCGTTGCTTGTGGTTGCAGGATCACACGAATCCCCCCAGTGCTAAGAACTTGAGGATCTTCAGATTTACACGCGTAACATTTGGACTGCTTCCTTCGCCGTTCTTATTGGCGGCCACAACTCATTACCATCTAGACCAGTATTCTGATGATGAACAACTCATCAAAGAGATCAAGGAAAATCTCTATGTAGATAACCTTCTTCTTACTATGGACTCACCCAAAGAAGCGGTTCGCGTGTATTCTAAAACTAAAAATATTTTCAAGGACTTAAAAATGAATTTAAGGGAGTTCAGGTCCAATGACAATCAAGTCATGGAAACAATCGCGTCGGGTGACAAATCTACGGATGTGGATTTCAAAGTCTTAGGTATTCCATGGACTACATTAGATGATAAGATCCATATCGCGTGTAAAATGATAGAGTCAAGAGAGACCACAAAAGCGTTCCATAGCGAGTGCCATCTCGCGGTCGGGTGACCGATCCCTTATGGAGATGGATTTGCCATTGTCGGCACAAGGGCCAAAGTCTTCCTAACAAGATCGCTGTGGAAAGATGAAACTTAGTTGGGATACACCGTCCTTTGGAGAGGAGAGAGAGAGAGAGGAGCGCGCGGTCAAGGATACAAGGGTTCCAGAAGGAGCTTACCGCGTTCTTTAGATCAGGAGTACTCGGAGGCTGGCAATTTGGTCGCGTTTGGCCGACGCTAAGTAATGGAACGTGGGCATCAGTGATACTAGCGCTAGTGTTCCGGAACATCGGGGTGACTTACTCATGGCTAAAAGGGAAGCTTCCCTTCACTGAAAGCGAAAAATGACTATTCCCAAAATGGATCCTAAGCGCATGACTTTGGCTATGCGTCTTACAAATTCGGTAGTTTCCCAAATTGACGCTATATAAAACGCTATACTCTATATAAAGTCAATCCTCATCCTGACGGATTCGGAAATCGTCTTGAGTTGGATTGCAAAAGATTCGCGAGCAGATACGGGCCCTTTCGTGAGAAATCGCGTTTTAGAAATCCGTAAGATAGCAGCTCACTTGGAACAACGTGGCTATCCCGTACGGTTTGGACACATACCCTCTCAGATCAACCCAGCAGATTGCGCCACGAGAGGACTCGACAAAACGCAATTAAGGGATCACTTTTGGTGGAATGGGCCCAGATTCCTGTCCAATAATGAGAACACATGGAAGTACGCGTATACTCCGATTCTGATGAGCACATCCCATGACGAGGTTGAAAAATGGGACGATGTTAAAGACACGGCCACAGAAAATCGCGTTTTAACATGCACAAAAGAAAAGTTTGAGGATATTTTTCAGAGCATTCGCTTTTCGAGTTTCTCCAGTGTTAAACGCGTGGTCGCTTATATTCTACGGTTTGTTACCACCCTTATTGACCGCGTAAATAAAAGAAGAACATCTCCGCGTACGCTCTCACTCATTTTTCAACAGATGAAAGAGTCTAGGGGAGACTCATTAAGAGTAAAAGGGACAGAAATGCGTTTGGCGGCTGCGATGCTAGTCAAACAGCACCAGCTTTCCCACGCTACTCAGAAAGTTCTCAAGTCGCTTCATCACCTCAATCTTTACGAGGATGAGTACGGAATAGTGAGATGCCGCGGAAGACTGGGGAAAAGCGATCTAGAAGAGGAAGCCAAGTTTCCCATGCTCATTCTCCAAAAGACATGGCTTTCTCAGATGATCATAACAGACTGCCACAGCAGGCTACACCTCAGTACAAGCCATACAATGTGTCGCGTACGAGAAAATTATTGGATCCCTCAGCTTAGAGCGGAAACAACCAAATTAATCAGGCGATGCGTAACGTGCCAAAAGTTAAACAACTTACCGTATAAGTATCCCGAACAAGGTGACCTACCAACCAGAAGAGTAACTAGATCGCGTCCGTTTGCACATGTAGGCTTAGACTACTTCGGACCTTTATTTGTCAAAAATGAAGAGCGGGTAGACAAGTGCTACGGATGTATTATCACCTGTATGGTCACAAGGTTAATCCACCTCGATATAGTAGCAGACGTCTCAACTATCGCGTTTCTTCAAATGTTACGACGATTCTTTTCGCGGAGAGGCACTCCGCTTTCGATTACGAGTGACAACTCTCCTACATTCGCGTTAGGGGACGCCATTTTATCCGAATGTTTTCAACGGATAAGAAATGATGTAACCATAGACAAAGAAGTGAGCAGTAGACAAATAAACTGGATTTACATAACACCATATGCACCATGGCAGGGAGGGGTGTATGAACGTCTCATTCAGTCAGTAAAACTCGCCATGCATAAATTCCTGGGGAAGGCAACCCCCACCCGCGACGAGTTAGGGACGTTGATTGTAGAAATTGAAGGGATGTTAAACACTAGGCCATTAGCATACGTGGAGTCGGAGTCGGACACAAATCGCGTTTTAAGACCCATAGATTTTCTTCAAGACGAATTTGAAGTTTTGACTCCTTTGGATGTTGCAGAAGATGACACTACAGACCCCACGTACGTTACTCCAGCAGATCGCGTAGCTCTCCAAACTAAGATGCAAGCTTTGGAGGCGCTAAAAAGTTCATGCCAGATGACGGAAAAGTTTTGGCACACGTGGCAGTCACAATACCTTACATCCCTTCGAGAAAAACACCAGCGAGACGTAGGAAAGAAGCGGGGATCGAGTTTGACCCCTGAAGTCGGAAAGATGGTATTGATCTGTGATGCTCTCCAACCGCGTTATCAGTGGAAAATGGGACGCATTGTGGATTTAGTAAAAAATGAGGACGTAGCTAGAGAAGCTGTAATATTACTCCCGTCGAGTAGGAAGATTAGAAGACCGGTGAATCTGTTAGTACCGCTCGAACTGGGTGATGATGATAGCTTTTCAGAATCCCTTCCAACGTCGACTCCAACACCAACAGCGGACGATATTTCGGAAACACCAGAATCTAGGAACATAGGTACCCAGCCGGCTGGACAGGCAGCTCCGCGTTATAATCTCCGACCGAGAAAGATGGGGCAAAGTAAAGGTCATGGCGCGTACTCAACACTGACCACGAATACGGTTTGCCTGGCTATCATCACTACGCTGATCGGTTTCAGCTTTGGGGCGGACAACCCCCCCAATTCGCGTAATGGACGATATATTCGTTGTATCCCAGGCGGCGTTGAACTTACGGAAACCGATCAATTACCGTATGAGGTCTGTGCGGAAGATTACTGTATACACTACGCGTGGCCCAATATTACTGAGTCGGTGAGACTCCCATCTCGAATAATACTCCATGAACATGACGTTCAATGGAAAATTTTAAAGGACACTTCGCTTATAACGATAGAAACAACCTGTCCTTCCGCACCATTCTGTGACTATATCGAGTGTACATTCTGTTCGACTTTGGTATTTAACCCGGAGTGCTGGCCGGTAGGAGCCATCTGGGTAACGGCAGTGGTTTTCTACTTCGTCATTACAGGCTGCTATGTATTTTTCTACATCCCATTGGTGCTAGGGACACCCATTCGCGTCTTCCTCACAGGACTACGACGTTTAGGAGGCTGCTTGTATAGGAGGATTCGCGGGAGAATTCGCCGCGCTCGTCGCAGGCCAACGGTGGATCTGATTGAACTACTGGCCCTTGTGATAAGCCTAGCATCGTTCATGTACACAGCATATGGGTGTCAGGAAGTGAATATTTTCTCCCATCATAGCACCCTCTGTAGCACTTCAGGAAACCGGCAATTATGCAAGGTCCAGTTGTCGGAGGTGCTTAAAATTAGTCCGTTCAAGCGAGAAGCCTGTTTCAAGATGAAGACGAATTCTACTACCGTCCATGAAATTCGACTAACATGGAGATCCCTCATGCTCACGTGTGAACCAGAGACAGACTACTTCACAAGGGATGCAGAGTATCGCGTAGTGGACAGTAAACGCTGCCCGCATATGGGATCTTGCAGCGGGCCTAAATGCGCTCAGATCAATGGCTCTACCCTCATTCCTGAGTTGGAGCAGGGAAATGCATACCCAGGCACAACCTATGCGTAGAGTCGTGGTGGAGGACCTGGCTGGCGACTGCTGGCTAATGCGGGGTCAGGATGTCTTATTCTATCGGTGTATATTCTCGTTCCAGTTCCAATGAAACGTACGAATTTTTCACTGTAATCGATGGAAGAGCAGCAAAAATAGAGGTCATCATTTTGACGCGATAAACTAACAGCAGGAAGAGCGCGTTCTTATGATACCAAGTGTACCTGTACGATGGAACGCGTTCTCCTTGACACTAAGCTCATTACGGTACTCCACGCGTCGCCGCTCGCTTCTAAGCAGATCTTTCATATCGAATACCAAAGAAACGCATGGTGGGACTCGAGTTTAGCGCCCCCGCTACATTGCTCTCAACGCAAATGCAGCTGCGAAACTGGACTGTGAAGTGCAAGACGACTGTACCGTGCTATCCAGCAGAGAAAGCCAACTGTAAGTGTAGGCAAATAAGCATTGCACATGGTTTAAAAATCTGCAAACATCGTTTCCCGGTCATTACACCAACCATGGCATTCCGAAGAGATAAGGACGGTCTTGTGCAAGCTAGCGTGTCTACGATGGTAACGTCCGAGATAGTGCTCATTCTCGACAACGAATATGAGACGAATATATTGGTGGATGAAGCCATATGTAGGTGTCAAATGCCGTACTCAGCGGCTGTTACAACTGGCGGCGAAGGGAGCGCAGGCGCGTATCATCTGGCACGGCATCCCGGTTAGCACAAGCGGAAATTGTATGCAGCGATGCGAGTTTTGTCGTTCCCTGCAACGTAGACGGTGTGGAATCGTTATTACGATTTAGCTTTACAAAGGCCCGCATAAATAGCCGATGTTCTGTTTCATGCGGACCCGTCCTGTCCACATTCGAAATAGGCGGAATCCTAAAATTTACGCATTCTGTAGAAGGAATGATAAGCTCATGGATCGAAGGCCGAACAAACAGCTTTCAAGACATCGAGTTCCCCGACGTTTTCCATATTGCCAACGTTTTCACTCAGTGGTATAAGACCCTACTTCTGGCAACAGGTGCACTAGCACTGGCAATCATAGTTACATACATCTCCATATGGACATGGGGACCCAAAATTCTATTAGGAGTACTACGATTAATCGCGGCAACGGTCCGACTGTTTTTTCGTACCTGTCTTCGCGTTCTCCTTGTCCTGTCAAAGTCCTTTCGCACGATGCACGAAAAGTCACTATGAATGCACTTACCTTTCGTTATATGTCATGTCCAAGACCAAAACAATGCTTTGCTTTGCACACCAAACCACGCTTAGGCATGATCCCATGCACCCACGAGAATCGAGTTCTTCATCAATTTACGCGTGTTTCAGGATGGCAGAACGAGACGTGGATAGTGACATCGCGTATCTTTCCAATCTGATGCTCCATCGTCATACCGCCCTGACTCGCGTACATGAAGACTTGAACGTGATCGAGGAAGCATTTCATCGAGAGATCAGTGTCGCCTCAATGATCCAGCTACAGTGGAGCTATATCGTTACGGATCAGACTTTCATTCTCGGAACACCTGGAGATAGAATACGAACACTGGCGAAGCAAATGAAAGACCTCATTCTCACACGAGAACGATTTTCGCGTATGGCCACCCGTTACATCTACACGAATCGCTACTATAAGGAACTCGCAGTATCATGGAAGATTACCATGAACCAAAAAGAATGGGATAGTAAGGCAGAAGGGATACTGCTCCAGCTAGACAAAAACGTGAAGCGATTCACGTCCCTTCTCCAGGAAATGGAGCAGGAAATAGGCAACGGCAGAAAAGGATTTCAACGCAGGCCCCTGTCATACGAATGCACAACACATCAACCAACTTTTCCGTAAAGCATTCGATAATCTGAAATCCACAGAAAGGGGTGACACAGAAAAACGATTCGAAGAGCTCCAGAAGAAAATAACGGAGCAAGCAGCGGAAATATCGCGTTTGAAGGAACGGATTCAACAACCCAATCCAGAAACGGGGCCGTGCGCACCAGAGGGAGAGATGACAGATGACGCGTATTGGTCTCGTATGGTTGAAGAGATCCACGATATCCAGGAGGACAATCAACCACAAACTCCTCCACCACTAGCCTCCGACGGGGATGACGATGACGAGCAAATGGAGGACCAGCCAATTCCTGAAGCTGATAATGACAAGAGAACAGCCGAGGAACCACTGGTGATAACTCCAGCCAACACTGGTGTTCGCGTAGTTCAACTCGTCCTACCAGAAACCGACGATCGCGTACCCGAAAGAGTACCTCGGGAAGCCGCAGAAACCATTGATATTCGCGTACCTGCACAAGAACTTCCAGAGGTCCCGGAGGATCGTAGAGATCGCGTTGTTGAAGACGTCCCGTTGAAGAAGTCACGCGGCAGCGAAGATCATGAAGACAGAGAAGCTCACGATCGCGTGTCATCTCCTGAAACAGATCCTCGTCCACAGTCCACGGACACATCGGCAGACAGTGACCCCCTAGGAGAACATGCGATGCTGTACCGAAGACGAAACGCTGATGAGCTGAGAAGACTCATCGAAGAAGTGCAAAAAGACATAGAGAAAATGGAATCTATGTTACTAACTTTCCCCTACAGGAAGAAGGAGCACTTCTCACCAGGCATACGATCGATGGTACGGTGCGCGTTTTGTGATGTAACCGGGGAGCATTTCTCCGATTCCTGCCCTAACATCACGCAAGGAAGTGACCGCTGGAACATAACACAAGACCGATTCGTCTGCCAACACTGCTTGACACACTGCGGAAATAGAAACAGATGTTCCTATAAAAGAAAGTCGTGTTTCTATTGCGATCGCGTACGAGGAACACCCTTCGAGTCGCTCATACCAACGGATACCGGGCATCATACAGCTTTGTTCGACGTGCCTGATAAACGAGGGGACGCACGCTTGCTTATCGAAGATGCCAGACAGGAGTTACGGGATCTGCTCGGAGAGTTAGCAGCGGTAACGATGGAAAGACAACGTGAAATTGAGAGGAGACATCACGACAGATCGCGTAGCGAGCGTAGAAGGCAGAATGACGACAGATCGCGTAGCGCGGGCAGGAGACAGGATGACGACAGATCGCGTAGCGAGCGTAGAAGGCAGAATGACGACAGATCGCGTAGCGCGGGCAGAAGACAGGATGACGACAGATCGCGTAGCGCGGATGAACGCCAGGATCACGACAGCCGGAGGGAGGAGACACCGAAGAATATCGAGAGAGGACCGACTGGTGCTGGTGGATTCAAGAGTGGCTGGAAGAAGGATAATTAGTGATCGCAGTTATTGTCGTTGATTTTGTATGAATTCCGAGGCTAATTTTTTTTTGTCGGCCGGAGTGACGACAACAGTCGTCCTATCATAAGGTTGTAAGCTAATAATCTCTTAACTGTGTAAGTATTGTAGACTTTTAGCTAGTACAATTATCCATATGAACCACCGTAAGAATTGTATTTCGCATGTATGTTATGTTATATTTAACGTATGTTATTCTCTCTATTATCAATCGATAGTGGGTTTAGGAGCTCGAGGGAGCTTTGTTGCTGATCGAGGAGGCTGATTGCGGGCCATACAGTGCTGCGGCGGTCGCCGCATAAAAGGGTGTCTGCCAGAGAAGCTGGCTCATTCGCGTATCATCAACAGTCGCGTCGACCCTCAGCCTCTCGCGTTACTTCTTAATAGTTATGTAGCTCATTTGCCTTTCCATTCTCATCGCTTTAATCATTTTACAGGTTCGCGTATTCAGGAAGATTAAAGGGTTTATAAGCACTCACATTTACAGGCTCATTTATGATGTAGATATTTTATATATGTATCGTTCATTTTTATTACAGTATTTAAAATAAAGGTTTAATTACCCAAGTTTGAGGCCTTCTCACACGGAATCCGCGTGGCGACCAAACTGGTTTACGGCGAGCAACAGTAACGTGAGAGGGACCTCAGTGTCCCAGCACTGATCTACAATACAGTTACTCGGGGTCTGGTACTATGATGGGCAACGGTGGCATTCTTGTAGTTGTGTGGTAGCATCCATTTGTCGATCTGAATGCCGAGGAACAGGCAATATGCACCGACAGTGACGGATTTGTTCTCTGTATAGAGCCGCTTGGAAGCCACAGTGTGGGGAATCCTTTGCTATGGTGATCATCCACTTGCGCCCACGTAACTCTTCATGGTAGTTTCGGGCGGTTTCTCATCTGCATTCATATAAAATTGACGACTGTGATTTTCGGCTCGAGGTCCGAGACCACCCATATTTCATCTAAGGCCTGGGTGCGTTTTCACAGTTGTCAGTGACATCTCATGCTGAGAACATTACTGCTAGAGGTATAGAATCAGTACTGCGTTCGTGCTTCTATAAGAAAATTGGGTACCCATGCGCACACCCCCTTGACCATCCTCAGTTTATCGGTCATAACACCTTCATCCACCCGTTTTTCTTGTGCAGGATGAATATTATGGGACCATCCGCAACAACAAAATTTTTTCCTTTCTTCCTTGTACGGGCTCCTGAACCAAATCTTCCTTCGTGTATTTCAAGAACACCCTTACACACACAACTATAGTCTAGCGCAGGTCAAATTTGAGCAGAGCACTTTCCTCTCATGACGTCTGATTTGAAAAACCGGCGCCGATTTTCACCACTCGAGCTTCTTTTCAATTTCTCGAGAACTTCTTCTGGGGCGAGGTTCGCCAAATTTCACAGATACACAGCGAAAGGTACTAGCTTCCAAATGGTATAGTAGCCCGCTGCTCTATCCCCTTTGCTTTTCTGCCATTCCTCTATGTGTAGCGGCCAGTTTGAATGGGATGACCCAATAATACTGATGTTCCCATCATAAATGGGAATGTGAGGAAGGGACAAATTCATGGCGTAATCCGCAACAGAACTGAAAGCATTTCTTCACAAGGGAAAAAAGTGGCTCAAAGCAAGAGATGGCACGACAACAAGCACAGTAAAGCATGGAAACAACTACACTTTCCACTAACAACAATGTGGTGCAGAAGGAATGATTGCCAATGATATGAGCGCATGACCATGAGACCAGTTAAAGATATGACTTTTTAAAACATTAAGATACCAATTCAAAGAAAACAGCACAGTTCGGCTTGTTGGGGGTATTTTGCAGATTGCCATTAATCATGCCCACGTCTTGTAAATTCTTTTAATGTTATGCAGTAGCATGAACTTCGTTTACATTTACCAAGGGTGTAGATATCTCATCAACGTCTGACGTGTATAAGTAAGAGAAACAAGAAAACTAGGGAAATGTTCCTCCTAAGCCGAACTGCACCAGAAAAAAATGTCCCATCACAGGTAAATATGGCCTAGCCCAGTTACCTAACGTCTGAGAAAAGCTGAATTCAACGAGCAAAAAATTTGCGGTCAGAAAAGAAAGTCAAGCAGCCACCAAAGATGACTTCCTAGCCGATGGTCGTTTTGACGCCGTTACTTCGTTCCCGGCCGGATTGCAGTATTGCTGACAGACCCAAGATCCTTGAGGAGCTTCGGACAGACCGATACAGTAGGTATGAAACCCACGATCGCATTTGTCACAGAAGATCATCGACTCCTGAAAGCAGAATTTCCTTATTCTGTTTATAAGTCTTTCAGCTCGGATGATTTCTACCAGAAAGGCGAGGGCTTTACAACAGACGTATGCGACGGACGTTGTCGAGGTGGTAATCACACAGTCGTGTTCAGCACGGATGCTGAGGCGGAGAGCTGGGTTCGGCATGGCAGGAGCCAACTTTCCACCAATTGTATCGCCTGCCAGCTTCCACAACTGGTGGAGAACGGCCTGGTGCTGCGCCGAATCGAGCACTTCTAACGCGCCCCAACATCCACAGCGATTAAAACCGTACTTCGTGACTTGGAGAATAGGAGAATCGGTGATTCGATGTTTCATGAGAAAGTGGGCCAAAGGAATAATAGAAATAAATTTACTTTGGTTGCGACGACTATAGAGAATAAGAGAACCAGTGAATCGGTAGCGGTCGGGGCGGCGCGACCTAAGTCCGTTCATCTGACCCTTTTCCCGAGAACGTTCCCCGCCCCAAAGAAGTGCCACCGTCATTCCTTCCCCGCCAGTAGGCTCAGCGAGCGCTAGGCGACCATAGAGAGCACAGCCACGCCACGTACCTCCTTCCTCTCATCTCCCCTCCCCAACTGCAGCAACACAGGAAGAAGAACAGAATAGCCTCACTTCTCGATCGCCCATTGTGCAGACGCTGCAACGTTTGCATTCTATGCATTGCCAGGGATATGTAGCCACATGTGCCGCCATCTCTTCATTCATATCCAGACAAGAGGGATGTGACTGCAGCGGACACGAGACACACCTAAACATTCAGAAGAATCATGAAGTGAAAATTATCTTAGATGTCGTAAGAAAAGGTGTTCTATAACTGCTTTGTTGTAAAATAGAATCCATATGTTCGTGCTGGGAGAGGGGCGCCCACGAGCTTGGTTGTGAGTGCAACGCGGGTATAATGCTTATCGAAGCGCCGCGGGAGGGCGTTCCTACGTACGTTCGTTTCGGCACGAGGCCTGCCTATTTCCATCAGTAGCTGTCTGCTCCATAGTGGTAACAACTCTTGGAAACGATCCGGCGCCGCACCAAAAACATGATTACATTTGTCCGAAACGGCAACATCCCACCAAGACCGTGGGTATCGCTACGTTCAAACCATGAGACCATTTATGCCCACACCACCTCGGGGACGATTTAGTCGAGAGTGAATTCGTTAGGGCATCCTAGAAAAACCTCCCAAGGATCATAATCCTATAAAACCCCAACGATGTCACTGCCTAGTGAACTGTACAGAAGTCTTACCAACCTAGAGTCCGTTCTGAATAAAGGTAAACTCACTTTATGACAACCTCTTCAGGTGCCATTACAACCTCACACATTGTGCATTTTACTGGCTGTAAGAGTGGATTGATCTTGGCAGTTGATCGAGGAGTGATTGGTTTTGAAGATAATGCCGATCCACTCTGAAGAAACACATGCTCGATGTAACAACGACACCTGATTGCCCCGTAAATCATAAAAAAATGATGTACAGTCTTGTTCGCTGCGGATGAAGGGGCGTGTCAGTAAGAATGGGCTTGGCGCGCTCCCGGTCCGTTTTCCATCAGTTGTTGAAGCGTATAAGCGAATAATTGGTGGAAAACGATTGGTACGAACGATCTGATGCAGTCTTGTTGCTTTCCAGTAGAAAAAAAAACAAAGAAAGGGGTAGCACCGCGCCAAACCCATCCCCCTTGACATGATCCACCATCCGCATCGAACGAGACTGTTAGAGCGACGTCATCTTGAGAGAGGATGTTTGAGTTTTTTCTCTCTAAGCAAGGAGTCAGTTCAGTGGTCTATCAATCAAAAGAAGCACTCTTTGCACAAAAAAGTATAAGAGAGGAAACAGCGGAGCTTCCCGTTTTTCCTAGACAGAATGAGCAGAGCCGAGCAAACGTTGCCCTGGCGATCAAGGTCGCCACACCTGCGATGATGTAGAACTCACTGCCCAGTTTGTCAACTAGCCAAAGCTCAGATTTCAATGCACTATTTTCAGGACTTTGGACGGTCGCAAAGAAAAAGACTTTCCCATCTCTATCGCTTGCTGGAAAGAAAGCAGAAATCGTAATCATCATTTGGTGAAACTGTACACTTTCGTTGGATCTTAGTTATAACCCGTTCAAGGTGACAGGTCCGCATTGCATGGGTTGCCGTTTCTTCCGCTCAGCATGCACCGGAAAAAAGCTGGAGATGGTGATACCTCTAAGGCGTCTACCGATTAAGATCAAGCATTACGTCGCGAAAAATTGGGTGATTTGTACGACCCCCCTAGAAAGGGGTGTCCGCACAAACTCCAGCTCCCCTAGTGGCTGCTTAGTGTGTGGAGGTATCTGCTGTGCTCATCAAAATGTACAGTTGATATCACTGCAACCAGTCGGGTTGCAATCAGCGATCGCAACATGCGGCATTGCCATCATTAGTTGTTTTACTCCTGAATTAAGCTTTTCCCGATCGCCATTGGTAGAGCAAGGCAGCCGTAAGCGGGCTCGTGCCGCGCCGAGCTCGCCTCCCCGACAAATTGCATTGTTACAGACTATAGCTGTATATGTTGTACGTTCTGCGAACTTTACCTGAGTATCTGAGTATCTAGGAACACCAAAACCAATCGAAAAATCACTGAAAACTGAAGAAGTCAGTTTCTCAGTAGATTGTAATGCATAAAGGATTCCTTCATCTTCCTAAGGGGAAAACAGCCTTAATATCAACACAGGGAAGGTCCCGGTGATCTCTTCAGTTCAAATTTTAATCCAAAACACAGCCTGCTCGCTCTCCCGGAAATTTTTGTTTAGTCTTCAGTTTTTATTAGTCGTTCGAGTTTGTTTTCTTTGTTTGTTTTTTTCTTTACAGTGCCAACACTAACTGAGTATGTTTCTGTCTTTTTTTCCAAGCTAAGTGGCGCACCCTTGGGTGTATACCAATAAACAAACAATAAATAAATGAATGAAGGCAAACTTCAAAAAACCTCACAATAACGCTATTCAAACGAAACAACGCGAAGCCGAGGCATTGTGCTTACTACGGTTGCGTCGCGTATTGAGACTGGAACGCTACTGGCCCGTTGCATTCACATCGCATTTTTTTGAAAGGGTGTAACTTCATTCAGAAACGACCTCCGCAGAGCGGTGGACGATTCAAGTTATGCGGCTAGGCTCTGTAAAACACTACAGGTTCCACCAAGCTTGCATGACGGCATGCGGCCAGAAAATAACGCGGAGAGTTCTGAACGAACGCGAGTTCTTCACCTCTCAGTGGATGACTTCGTTCAGACATAACGTAGAATGGGGAACTACTTGGCATTGGAAACTAGAAGACTTTCTCTTCTGAACGAGTACCACAGCTTCACTGTAGCTCAATAACAGCGAATCGCGGAAAATCACAAAAATAACGCGTAGAGTTCTGATGAAGGCGAGTTTTTTTTTAACCTTTCAAGGACCATAATCTTGTTGAGACCAAACGCAGAACGGAGATCTTCATGGCACTGGAAGGAAGGTTTTGTCTTTCTGAAGAGTACAAAGTCTTCGCTGTTGCTTAACTACAGCGAAAAATCGCCCGCGTTTTTCCATTCGAAGTTTTCTCTATTGGAAGCTATTCAGCTTCTGCGTTAGGATCTCTCCTGCTGCAAAGCCTACATTTCCATCAAGGAAGCTCAGTAGGCCTCCCGTACCTCTCTTATTCTGTGGTGAATAGGAACTACAGCATGGAGGCTATGAAAGGCGGTAGTCGACTTCCTTTCAGAACGCACTACCCATCCTAGAGGCTGTTGTGTTCAGTACTGATTTCTGCAGATGCGATCCTCCTCCTGAGGGGCCGAATACGCCCCCCTGTCGACGTGGCTTGATCCTGCTTCCAACCCCGCCCCGGCCGTCTCGCCGCCAGCCACATGCCTGGACATAGCCAGCCGCGCCGTTTTACTGCGCCCACTCACTTGTGGCTGTTCCCTACCCCTGACTGCGAGTTCGCTGCGGGACTTCGGTATCTACGCAAGTTCTGCGCCTCGAAGATACAACGAGCGACGCCCCGCTTTAGAATCCTATTTCTGTTTGGGGGCGCGTTTGAATAAGATATGTTTGAACTCAGCGGTGCTGCTGTTGAGCAGGTGTCGCGACGACGCCCCTGCGGCTCTTGCCTCAACCAGGGCCTGGGCCTGAAAGCAGACGACCATGATTCTCAGTTCTCCAGCATTTCCTGCGCTCTCTCGCCTGTATGGCATTCACCCGGCTATCACTATACTACTCTAATTCGCTGCGGACGGTTGAGCGTGTCAGGCAGTATGAGTGTGCCCACCGTCAAAGCCGTTCTCTGCCTTCTTGTTGAAGCGCGCATGCGACAAAAAGTGGTAGAAACGAGTAATACGAACGATATGATACAGTCATATCACTGGATCGCTTTAACAACTGGTGGGGAAGGGTCTGCAACCGCGCCAAACTCATCCCGCCTGACACGCCCAACCGTCCGCAGCAAACTACACTACACACTCGTTCCCGCGCACCTTCGAGCCCAAAAAGTGGCACGCTACCACAGATGCGGACCCATTTATCTGGCACATGGCAAGGACCGCCCTCGAAGATGATTGACTGTTCCTTCAACAGTTCTCAATAAGATTTCCTTAAACTGGAGAAGTTATGTGTTAAGTTGAAAAGTTCATCAGAACTTTTCGCCCAGCCCTATAATGCAAAACTAGCCTCTGTGAACGCGTACAAAAATGAGATAGTCGAAAACTACACTTTTCGAGTTGGAAAGTTGTGTTAGTATAGACATTGAACGATAACATTAGAACATTTATAATTGAGTAGAATCAAAAGAAAACCATAAAACGGCTGCACCTTATATTACAGATTAAAAATACAGATTTTAAACAACAGATCCATTTTACATGTTAGCTGAGATCAGTTAGTTCACGCTCTGATTTTTTGGGATAAAGAAACTTATTAGCTAACAATCCCGTCACCATTTACAAGCACTAAGTAGACATATAGGCAAACAAAGCTGCCCATGTTTCAAGAGTAGAAAACGCTCATTAGTTTACAACAATGCAAAAACATAAAGGAACAGTAACTTTAGGGTTCATCTTCATCGTCCTCTGCATAGGCCACGAATCGTTTTGCAGTGCTTCGAGCCTAAACAGCCATGTAACAAAAGGATATCCGCCAAAACGCAATATAACAGAATAATCTACAGACTTATTCGCTCCGGATATTGAGGCTTGTCAGGAAACCTGGGCTTGGCGTGACGCCAACTAGTTTTCCACCAATTCTGCAATCTAACAAGCAACCGCAATCGGTGGAAACGGGCTGGCGCCGAGCCAAACCCAGCTCGGTACGCCTCAGCATCCGCAGTGAATAGGACCGTATGCCCTAACTATTTCTACGGAATCGAAAATGCAACAAAATGCTTTGCTGGCGTGTGGAGGGATCCACATGCGTAGTCGTTTCGACCACATTTCCACAGTATCATTTTCTGTTTCCTCGTGCGTTCTGTGGCTGTTTAGGCTCACCCAAAGTCGCAGAACTACCTTTGCCCAGTTTCATGAACTGCTAAATTACTGTCTGGGAGCTTACTGAAAATACTATGGCACATTCCACGATTGAAAATGTGGATGATCAGGGTCAGATAAGAATCTGCAAGAGCTAGTCGACTCTCTGATAAATAAAAAAGCAGAGGACCCGCCGAAATCCCTAAAATTAGGCTCGATTCTCATTTGCCGTTGTGAAAGCGCGCGATTAATGAGACGCAGAGACGCTCGCCGTGGGCGACAAGATATACGGACAATTTGAACTCAACCCCTTTCAATGTACTGATATTGTGCGGCACTCTCTCGCCCGTATGGCAATCTGTGGCCATTGTGACATGACACATTCAAACCTCACAAATGATAAGCAAAATGCATAGCATAATGGCTCAGCCATTCCGAAGCCTCTCACCTTGAAAAAGCCTATACTCGCACATTTCGATGCTTTCGTGCCATTGTCTCTACCTGTCTGCATTACATGGTTTCGCAGCAGTATCATGCACAAAAGTTCAACATGTCACGCAACCGGTTGACAGGGCTTACGCTCGCACAAACGTTTGGGCGGGGTGTTTACTTTACAACTCTGCATGCAACAGATACGCCACCTGACGCTTTACTTTTCTACGCCCCTTATGCTCAAATTATACACTACAGCTCTTTGTGTGCATACTTTAGCGTGCCAACACATTCGCTGCGGAATCCTGGTCGTCTCTGGTTCTGCTGGTCCAGCAAGTGAATGCGGATGGAGCTATACAAGAACATCCTACAATCAGACCCTTCCAGTTTCACCGTCACAGAATTCCAATGAGATGGTAGTACCTTTCTACT